TTTCTTGTTGACTATTTTTGGTGATTAATTGTCTGTTATATGTACGTGTGACTGAGAAATTGAGGCAATAACACTTGAAAATCTTCATTCAGCATATTTTTATATTATTAATTTGTAAAAAGGGTTGCTTTAATTAGGTATAATAATTAATATTCCAATCTAAGTTTTTTGGCTAAAAGTGCTTGGGTGATTTTCAATTTCTTAGAGGCATTTCTGTTGAGCACCTTGCATGCATCCATGGAAAGAAAAGCAAACAACATCAATGCACTTTCATTGAGCACCCAGCAACAGTAGAAAATGATTAATGTAAAGCAAGCAATCCAATGCAAGTATCAATCATAGACCACAGCTATCACAGTCACCAATTCGAACCTACAACATTTGAACTAAAAAAGAGAATGAATAGCTTAAACATACCTAGGAATTTCTTCAGTCAATGCAGAATGAAATTGCAAAACAAAATAGCTTCAATGGATTCCACCAAGTTGATAGAGCAAGAGCGTAAGAATGCTCTGATTCTTCAAAGCAACAGCCCGATCGCTTGTGAAGGCTCTGATTCTTCACCAAGCTCTAATTATGGATGCGATTCTGTGCTCAGAGAAACTAGGGCACGACGATGAACAATGGGATCTTCACAAATCAATGCTTCCAGACGAGTCAAAGTAGCAAAGACATTTAGGTGAAGCAGAAATTTCAAAGAGATTCAACATTTCCAGGCATGTCTGGTCTCTGCAGAGCAACGCGCGATATGAGGAAGGCGGACGCAATTTTAAATGGCATAAGTTTGACGGGTTATCAGGTTTAACTGTTAAATATTGTCTCACTATATTTGACGGTTAACTATATAACCGTCAAACTTATATAAAAAATTTCAAAAAATTCCCTAATTTAAATATTATATTTTAAGTTTAACGATTTTATATATAACCATCAAATATATTGATTCATATATTTGACGATTTTTGTTGAAACCGTCAAATATTATTTTTCCCAGTTGCCGCCTTTCCTCATTCAATGGATTTTTCAATAACCGTCAAATATATATGCATCAAATATGCGTAATTCTGTACTAGTGTAACTCTAACTAGGGATTTAAAAAGAAATAGACATGTTCAAACATCATTCCATAAAATACTGAACAGATGGAAGGAATCAGAGGAGAAAATTCAACTCCCAAATCATATGCAACATTCTCCAACCTCCTTGATGCCTCTTTTCTCTAAGAATAGATGATCAGATGTTTTGAAAGGTTTCATGAAGGTTTATTTATAATTTTCCATGACTCTTTGGCCTCCATATTAGATAGATTACATCTCTTATCATATTTAATTCTCAAATTTTTGATTTACCTTTCATTTAAGATGCCTTAGTCTATAAAGCCAAAGCTTCCTAAAGTCACAAGTATTATTTTTGTCAACTAAGACTTCTTCTCCTTCAGCATAAAAAATCATCTTTGACTTTGCATGCCCTCTGTCACAAGAACTAGTATGGAAAAAACCAGCATCTTCCTTCACCTTCTTTACATCAACTTTGTAGATACCTAAATTATTTCTCACCCCTTACAGTAGCACTTGTCTAGTTCCTTGATTCTTAACAATTGTAGCACATGAGTTCATTAGAATTAATGCATCATTATCATCTGACAATTTAGGAATGCTAATTAAATTCTTCTTTGCCTTAAGAGCATAAAGAATATTGTTAAGTTTTACAGAAGTGTTAGAAATATTTTGTTGAGTAGATGAACATATTTGTTCAAGATTTAAACTCTGGCCATTAGCTACTAATAAGTGAACCTTACCATCATTGTTTACTGCATGGTCAAGCCGAGCAACATTATTAGTAATGTGAGTAGTGGCATCACTGTCCAAGTACCATGACTCATCATTCACGATCTCAGGAGTAGCAAGGAAAACCTCATTGAAATTAGATAAGCTAGAACTAACCTCAAAATTATGACAAGAACCACTAGGTGGGTTGAAGTTTTTGTCAAAGCAATGAAAACCATCTTTTACCATGTAACCAAGTTTATCATAAAGCTAACAAGGTGGTTTACCACTATGACCTAATGTACCTCGGCCACCACGTGACCCTCTAACTCCACGAAAACCTCTCCAACCACCTCATGAAGGTTGAGAAGAAGCAATGTGAGCAAACTGAGTAGAGATGTTGAGTTGAGTAACTTGATTAAGCTATTCTAGATGAGACTCAAATGTGAGCAGAATAGTTTGAAATTCAATCTAGCTAATCTCTTTCGTAGTACATGATAGCTAAACCACTATAGGATTATATTCACCATCAAGTCCCGCAAGCACTTAAAGAAAGAAATCTGCCTAAGGAATATGAATTCTTGTTAATGCAAGACTTTCAAAGATATTTTTCATCTCAGTTAGATATTCATCCATCTGTATAGTACCCTTCCTGGTACGTTGCAAATCTATTTACAGTATAAGGATACGAGTTTGTTTTGAGCTCCTGCTACCTCTCGTGTAGCATTTCAGAGACTGGCAGCAGATGATACTAGAGTCATTTATGCAAAAACTTCAAGAGAAATCATATTGAGCAACTAGCCAAACACTAACTAGTTTGCTGAGAACCAGTCTTTAAACTCAAGGTTGATTTTGGATTCATTTTTGTCAACAATAAATTGAGAAGGGTAAGCCTTAGTGTCATTAATGAAACCTTTGAGTTTGTAACCTTTAAGAATGGGCAAGACATGAATCTATCATAAAAGGTAATTATTCTTGTCTAGCTTGACAGAAATATTCTGGGTAAGGGTAGGTGCTGTAGGATTCTTAGCAAGAAGTGAGGTAGAAATAAATGAGCTGTTAGTGTGATTAATGGAGTGTGGGGTATATAGTGACTTGGAGGATTCTTTTGCCATTGTAGCTAGCTAATAGCTCTGATACCAAGATAAACTTTTATATGGAAAAAGGAAATTGTGAATAAAGGCGCACAGTGTTCTAGGTCTTGTATTCCTTATATAAAGAAATTATTATTGCTTATTACAAGTGCACGGGTCATAGTAAGTAATATAATGAAAATAAAGTATCGTTTCCTCGAGAATTTGTTCAAAAACAATGATCAAATAAAAAACTAAATAGTTTCAATCAAGTTAAGCCACACATAGTTAGGTGAAAATGATTTTGCAAATGAAAATAACACTAGAAAATAAAGAAAAGTAATTGATTCCCAAACCTTAAATACAAATTGAGACTTAAGATTATTTATCTCCCTTACATTTTATAACACCAAAATCACCTCCTCTCATAAATGCTTTTAATGAAAATAAGTGTTAATCTAGGATTCTAAAAATACTTGGAAAAGCTCTCTCTCAAGTCATGAACAAGTGTTAAGTTAAATTAATTGCCCAATCTCTTGTTACAATTAATAAAACTCAATTTTAAACACCAACCCTAATGTGACTATGCAAGGCTAGCAAGTATATCTCTATCTTACTAGCAAAACCATCAGTTGAACATGCAAATATCAAGTTCTTGCAAAATTTTGCCTAAGTTCTACACTCAAATTAGCCCTCTCAAGCATCAATTAAGTAAACTCAACATCTAAATGGTGGCCAATCACTTAGAAGCATTAAGGAAAGAGTAAAATAAACACATATATATCATTAATTACAAAAAGAGAGAAGGAACATAGTGTTAATCCATACAAGGGTTCAAAATATTCTTAGAGCAAGAGTTTAGCTACTCATAAATATCAAAAAGCTACAAATACATAAGATATTCATAGCCATTACAAGATTACAAGAAGGAAAGGGTAGAGGAATAAAAAACCAAAGAAAAGGAGCTCTAAATGTCTTCAAAACTCTATTCCTTGCTTTAAGCACTTCCAATACCTAAACCCTAGCATACCCAAGCTCCAAATGTATCTAAAGGTCTCAAGAATGCATTTTTAGTTAAGCTCTCAGCATATATGTATATATATCCTAGCCAACCAATTTCTGATAAATGAAACGCAATGTTTTTTTGACAACGGCAAAAGTCACGAACAAAAGTCATGACTTTGGGATGACTTTGGCAGTTTTGCACTATTTTTATAGTTAACAAAAATTATTCATTTTGTGCTTGATTTCTTCATCCAAAAGCCTTTCAAAAACATCCACAAAGCTCCAGAAATTCTTCTAATCAAAACTTCAACCAAAATAACATGAAATTAGTCAAAAAGTATCAAATCAAAGCCAAGAATACAAACCTAAAATAAAAATGCACATTTTTTTAATTTGGACAATAAAAACATATACAATTGAACCAAAATATATTAGAATCTAAGGGAAATGTGATGAAATAACATGAAATTCTAGAGGTTAACAATTATACAACCCTAATGCACTAGCAGAAGCCATGTATACAAGCTATAAAGAATAAAGAATGATAATATACAAAATGTACAGATAAAGTAAATAAGCTCAGCTTTGTTTAATTTCCTTTAGTTTGGGCTTTAATTTGCTGGTTTGGGCTTCAGTATTACTTTAACATAGACCTTCAAAAAATTTATTAGCATAAGTTCTAATAAACTATCACTTTTCATTAGCTGTAAAACTAATTTAAATAAACTATCCATTAGGAGAAAAAATTATTTAATTTAAGATTTAAGGTCATTAGAACACAAAAGCAACATAATTAATATAGATAAGCAAGTGATCAATTCCTACAGGATTCATCAACTATCCTTATTTTTTAAGGACACTTGGGTATAACAATCATGACCCATATAATTTCAAAATTAAACAATGTTTATATATATATATATATATATATTAAAAAACTTAGCGCATAGCTCCTAATCTACCATTGAATGTGAAAAATGCTAAATATAAAATAACATATAAAAAATGAATTAAAGGAATCAATTAAACCCTAAATCCTAAATCAAATCTTATAAAATATACCCTAAATCAAATCATATATAACATTCATCACTTGAATTTAATTTTCATGGGAAAACAATTACAGCAAATATGTTTATTGCTTCATTCTGTACAGGATGGCAAAGTTTCTGTACGAAGAGAAACAGGGCCGTTTGAAAGGAAACAACAGCATCTAAGTACTTTTCACTCACACCTTCTTATATATGTGTGTGTCTATATATGCACACGTACATATATGCATATATGCTATATATACACTTCAATATGGTTGCGTATAATAAGTTTCTATGTTTCAAGTTGTATTTCTTTGTTCTTTTAAATTAAGATTATGTTGAGTCAATACATAACTTGAGACGTTCCTTCATCGAAGAAAGTTGTATCCTTCCTTCTCCCAAAAAATATCCTACTCTGAATGTCGCGTTTTTTTAGGTGTGAGACGTACTCTTAGAGTCTCCGTTTGGTATAAAATGGAGATAAAAAAGAAATGAGAATGAGTTTTTTATTAGACTCTTAGACTCTTGGCTTTTGTGAATCAAATTGAATGTAATATTTCCACCATAACAGAGAGAAGCTTTGAGAATGCGTTTTTTAAAAAAATTTATTAGATAATTTTGATCACAAAAATTAGATAATAGAGATAATATTTAAAAAATTTAAAATATATACAAAGTGAAATCATATAACTAATAATATATTATCATCAACAAAAATTATAAAAATTATATAAAATGATAACATTACATAAAATGATAACATTTTAGGTCTGAGTCAATAGAAAAGAAGATCTTCAAATTTTGTAAAAGAATCAAAATATATTTGAAAGATTATATCTTGACATACACAAACTACTCTTTATTAATATTCTATATAAAGAAAAAAAAGAACGAGTCTTAGGTCAACTTGCTACGCGGTTGATCCAATTAACCAAAGGTCTCAAGTTTGAGCCTAGGAAAAGTAGCAATGATTAAATTCTCAATAGCAAGTATGTCCTCAAGAAGGTACCTGAAAGTTGCCAACTGGATTAGTCTGAATTAAACATTTGGGATACCAAAATGAAAGAAAAATAATAGAATGAGTGTGCCTTAGCTTGTAAATTGCATATGAATTAGGACTTTGGGATGTTCCAAAAACCATAAAATGGTTTTAGTTTTGGTTTCACCTATAGTTAGATCAAATTATATAAGCGATGCTTTTATTATTTTAGGTCTCCCACCCCAAAACAAATCAAAAGGAATAGAATGGCTCTAACCCTATTGTTTAGATTTTTTTTTTAATTCTTGATGATGAATTCATTTCATATAATTATAGATGGTAGTTACTGTTGAAAAATCTTATAGAAAATTTGTTTTGAGTCGAGCCCCAAGAAAACTGTTCTTAAAAGCAATTGCAAAACAATTGTCAGAGCTCCCTAGGATTAAGCAGAACCCTCTTATAAAATGAATAGGATGACAAAATAGTAGAAATATAGAATACCCTAGAAGAACCATGAGGAAGAAAGGAGAGGAGTGCTCCTGAAAGCTCGAGGCAGTGACTACCTACTATGTAATCTACACTTAGACAACCTAACATCTGCGAAAATATAATCAATAATATTCCAACATTTATATACTTTCTCCAATATTCAACCCACTAAAAAAACTTGCATCATTGCCATATTTCTTTTAAATGCACCATAATAAATTAGCGAAAACATGCGATGGGCCGGCTATCTAAAGATATTCTTCTTGACACTTTAAAGAATGAGATAAACACAATCAAGAACATGAAACATAATGTTTCTAAATCTTGAATTGAAGATCGCTTACCACATCACCAAGAGATTTTGAAGACTTCAACAGTCCATAAATAGAATGCTGATGCCGATCACTTTGCACTATAGCAATTCAGTTTGCTTAAATAACTAACAAATTAGCACGTGCTATTAGTGCTTGAGTGTACCAATCAAATGGACCGCTATTAAGGTCTCAAATGAGTTCAAATTGCAAGGCAAATTTGGCACTATCAATGTTCATATTCACCATTATCCGTCTCAATGTATGCTTACTCATATACATCCTAACACTTAGTTTTATTCATAAATATCACTAAAACCCACAACCTCATCACATGCCCCACCATGTCCAAATGAGGCTCTTTTATATTATTTACTCTATCAGATTTGAACACAACTCATGGGTACTTTCGCCATTTTATCATCGTAAGCTTATCCTATTTCAACCTTGTGTCCTATCATAGAATGGAAACAATGATAATGAAAATTGCCAAAAAAAAATTAACAAAGGAAATCACAGCAACTGCCAAATCTAATATTCCCTTCATACTTAGGTTCATCACCATTATCATCATCATTCTCTCCTTGCCTTCTTATTCAGCTCAAATTACTCGCTTACAAGTAGAATGGCTAAGGAAGATGATCTAAGAAGCTATGATCAAGAGAAGGAGTGGTACAGAAACCAAACAAAAAGAGAAATTTGAATTTTATTTCAACACTACATGATCATACAACAAACTAATGGTCCTATTTATAATGCTAGGACTTTGAAGAAAATAGATGAGCAAAGAGGAAGTTACAAATGTAAATGCTAGACGTTTTTTAGCTTAATGAAGGTATGAACGAAAAATGACACTTCTACTTTCATTTCTGTAACTCATGCTCCCGTTTCATTCTCCCTGGGTTCTCAAGTCAAATTCAACATCATAATCAATGTAAGGAGATAGATCAACAACATTAAAGGTGGCAGACACTCTATAAGAACTAGGAAATTCCACCTTATAAGCATTGTTGTTGATCTTTTGCACAATTTTGAATGGACCATTAGCTCATGGGGACAGCTTAGTGTGTAGTTTTTTAGGAAAATGTTCCTTTCTCAAATGTATCTAAAGCAAGTCTCCCATATTAGAAGTTTGATATTTTCTATGCTTGTCACATTGAGTTTTGTATATCAAGTTCTACTTCTGTATTCGTTCACAAACTTGTTCATGTAGCTTCTTAATTTCCTTTGCCCTTTAGTCTGCATCAGAAGTATATTGCTGCTTATCAAGTGAAGGGTCAAGTCAAGTGGACTAAGGGGACAAGTGCCATAAACAACTTCAAACGAAAACTTTCCAGTTGCTTGGCTAATAGAGTTATTATAGACAAATTCAACTTGAGTAAAGATAAGGTCCCACTACTTCAAATTCTTCCCTAAGAAATTGCAAAGAAGGTTGCCAAGAACCCTGTTTATAGCTTCAGTTTGAACATCTATCTGGGGATGACTAGCACTGTTAAATTAGAGCTTAGTTCCTATCTTCTTCTATAGTGTTCGCTAAAAGTGGCTAAAAAACTTCACATCACAATCAAAAGTAATATTATTAGGAATGTCATGAAGACAAACAATCTCTTTAAAATACAAATCTGCTACTTGAATAATATCATTAGTCTTCTGGCATGGAATGAAATGGGCTATTTTTGAGAAATGATCCACAACTACCATGATAGAATCTTTTTGCCTTTGAGTCTATAGTAAACTTAGAACAAAATTCATGCTCACATCTTCCCAAGGTGCTTTCGGAATTAGCAAAGGCATGTATAACCCAATATTCGGCCCCTTGGACTTGGCCAAGTGAAAAATTTTATATCTCTGTATATGCCTATTTACATCTCATTCAAGTCGAGGGTAGTAAAATTTCTCCTCACTAGGTCAACTATTTTATCTTGTCTAAAATGTCTAGCTAACCCACTGTCATATGCTTCCTAAATTATAACCTATCTCAAGAAACCTCATGAAATGCATAAGGTTTTGCTTCCTTAATTTTTCAAACTCATTGCACGACCTAAGAAAAAGTTTGTGATGTCATTATTGACAGTGGAAGCTATAAAAATGTTGTGTCTAACTACATGGTGGAGAAATTGAAGTTGCCAACATAAGATCATCTGCATCCTTACAAGCTTCACCAACTCAATAAGGGAAATAAGGTAAAGTTTCTAAACAACGCCTTGTGACCTTTTCTATTGGGAATAAATATTGTGACTAAATTTTATGTGATGTTATTCCCATGGATGCATGCTACCTTCTTTTGGGAAGACCATGGCTATATGACCAACATACTATGCATAACGCGCATACAAACACCTATTCTTTCATAAAGGATGGTGTCAAGTTCACATTAGTGCCTTTACCATCCAATGAGATTAGCCAATCTTTAAGGGAATTTAAGCCATTTGTTTCTTTGATGACTAAGGAGGAATTCAAGGTGATAAAGTTTGAAGCCCAAATGATGAACTACATTCTGATGCTTAAGGTGAACAAAGAGTATGTCAATCCACCTAGAGTCATTCCTTTATTGTCTAAATTTTCAGATATAATATCTAATGAGATACCACCTGGGTTGCCACCCATGCGAGACATACAGTATGCCATTAACTTCATTCCAGGAGTAGTCATTCCTAACAAGCCTACCTACAAGATGAGTCCTTAAGAACAAGCCAAAGTCCAATGGCGAGTTGAAGAGTTATTGCAAAAAGGGTTAGTTCAAAAAAGTATTAGCCCTTATGCTGTACATGTTCTTCTAGTAACTAAGAAGGATGGGAGTTAGAGAATATGCATTGACTACCGAGCTATCAATAAGATCACTATTAAGTATCAGTTTTTGATATCTTGGCTCAATGATATGCTAAACTAGTTGCATGGTGCCATTAGCTTTTCCAAAATTAACCTTCATAATAGATACCACGAAATCAAAATTTAACCAGGAGATGAGTAGAAGACCGCTTTCAGGGCTAGAGATGGCTTGTATGAGAGGAATATGATGCCTTTTAGGTTGACAAATACCCTTAGCACATTTAGCTGCTTGATGAATTAGGTATTGAGACCTTTCACTAGAAAATTTTTTTTTATTTATTTCGACGATATTCTTGTTTATAGTAAGAGTCAAGAAGAACACTTAGATCATTTACAGCAAGTTTTGCAAGCCTTGTGAGATCAAAAGCTTTATGCCAACCTTAAGAAATGTACCTTCCTTACTGATAAAGTTGTATTCTTGGGTTACATCATTATCGCAGAGGATGTTCGAGTTGATCCAAGCAAAGTTGTAGCCATTGACAGCTGGCCAATTCTAAAATCTATCTAGAAGGTTTGAAACTTCCATAAATTAGCCTCTTTCTACAGAAGGTTCATCCATAATTTTAGCTCTATTATTGCACCACTTATAGATTACACCAAAGGAGAAAAATTTTAGTAAACAAAGTAAGCTTAGAAAAGCTTTGAGGAGCTTAAGAAGAAGTTGATTGAAGCTCCAGGCATAGCTCTTCCCAATTTTAACCAAGTGTTTGAAGTTAGTTGTGATGCTTTTAACATCGACATGGGTGCTATCTTAAGCAAAGAGGGCCGTCCCATCACCTTTTT